TTGAGCGATTTTCTTGCCTCGAGTTCATCTTTGAAAAAAGCAAACACAGGGAAGCCGGCTTAAAACATAAACAATAAACAAGAATTTTCAGAGACACTTTAAGACTTGTCTACGTGAATGAAAATTGTTGTCTCTGTATATGATTCACTGAATTATTTTCCTTTTATTATTAATTGTTAGCAGTCTCTTCGCAATTTTAATCGCTGTGCCGTTTGTTTTCAGTTGCTCGTGAACATCGCTTGCAGGACTAGTCAAAATGCCACGCGTATCAAACGCTTTTGAAGATTACACATCGTTATAAAATCATTAGATAAAAAAATAAACATAATAAATTCTTTATTATGTTGAAGCGTATAACTCTATTAATCTTAATTTAAACAGTCGACTTTGGCGTTTGTCAAAAGTGAGAACCCGCCGGCTAGCCGAATAGGTGATTTTGGAAATTTTTTTAACGGTTTCGCTAAAAGCCCACGCGGGCTTCGATCGTCCTGAATATTGAATGAGTGCAATTTGTATTGCAAAATTGTGAAATGCTGCATTCTGTCCGAGGTCTGTATGATGAAAACTGCGCCTCATGGCACTGTTTCATCCCGGATGTGATGTATAAAAAGTATAAAAGGTTGGTTTACACGTCCCCAGACTTGTTCGCAAGATTTTGTAAAGTAAACTTGTCGAACGCAAAAAATTCGGCCTGATTTGTTCTCCAAGAATTTGTTTTCCAGGCCTAATCTACTGTGATCAAGAGCCATTATGGCTATGCTATATTTTGGGTGTACATATAAGGCTATCAACTCGATGTAAGATTAAGTTCACTCTTAGCTTGGACTGTTTGCAAATTATTTTTGTCTAAAATCACTTAGCCTTTCCCTCAAAAGTCACGTGAATGTGCTCTAAAGTTAAGGTGGCTCGACTGGATTTTTTGGGGGGGATACCTCCCACGTTTGAACATTAACTACGTCGGCATGAGTAAAGATATGGGAAAAAGGTTACCACAACTGTATTATATAATGATGAAAATTTCTTATGATCTGGGTTTTATTGCAACGTAATGACGCCATTACGCTTTTTATTTATCTTTGTGTTTCTCTGTACCAGGAGATATATATATCTCCGGAATATGCTAATTACCGGATAAAGAGATTAGTGATACATATAACATCAGAGCAATTCTTTGTAAGAGTTTCTGTGATGTTATAACCCGAGTAAGATAATTAAGTATTGCATCCTACACGATGAACGGTGACGTCCATCGTTTCGGCTCTCACTGCTGTCGGTGACACAAGCCAATTATTAGCATATTCCGAATATTTCTTCGGAAAGTAATCGAGAGTTCTTTTTGATGCAAATTTATATCTTTTGCTAGTTGTGCACGTGCATATGAAACTTGAAAACAATGCCAGTGAATAATGAGGACGCTCACTTGTAAACACAAAATCTGGGGGAAAAATTGGTTATATTTGAGGCCCTATTTAAAAGCCTTCCCTGTTTTCAATATTGTTGAAACGTGCAGGGAATATTTATTGATAATTGATCGCCAGATTGTCGAATTTATAAAAAAAATTTATCGAGCGGTTTTTTGAAAAATGCGAAATTTGTAGGCATGGACCAAATTACGTCCAAAAACTATAACAAAAGCAGCTGAATGCAGGTCAATAAAATTCTTCTTACTCGCGATCGCTCAGAGCAATTCCCCTCTTTTTTTGTATGCAGTTTTCAATGGAATCAAACCACTACGGGATGAAGCCGCGTTTCCAAAGCCTATCAGTTTCTGAAAATATTAGCGAATTGTGTGGATAGCATGCTATTTCACTGTTTTTACGATTGTTAAACTACGTGTCAAAATATTTCGAAAACGCTCTCATAGAATTTGTTGAAACTTTGCCATAATGGGGGCAATTATGGCAGGTACATACTCCCTTAAGCGATTTCTTCAAAAAACTCCTGGTACAGAGAAACACAAAGATAAATAAAAAGCGTAATGGCGTCATTACGTTGCCATGGCGACTCCGATTGCAATAAAACCCAGATCATAAGAAATTTTCATCATCATATAATACAGTTGTGGTAACCTTTTTCCCATATCTTTACCCTTCCTGACGTAGTTAATGTTCAAACGTGGGAGGTATCCCCCCCAAAAAATGCAGTCGAGCCACCTTAACTGATTTGTGGAAATTACAAGTTTATTGTTTGATTTAAATTATAAATTCGAGTTAATAGGAGCGTCGCTTTTAGCCCTGGCTAAATCTATATATTATTTTTCGCGTGCGACCCTAAACGAGACCTTCACGGCTAAATATAGGGGTGATAAATGGTCCATTAAAATTTTTTAAAACTGCTCGCAAAATTTTTCCCTTGCTCGATTTGCTCGCAAAATTTAAACGAGTGCTCGCTTGCTCGTGCTCCCCAAATTTTTGCAGTTGCTCGCATGCTCGCTTTCTTGTCAGTATTAGGGGTGATAAATGGTCCATTAAAATTTTTAACTGCTCGCAAAATTTTACCCTTGCTCGATTAGCTCGCAAAATTTAAACGAGTGCTCGCTTGCTCGTGCTCCCCAAATTTTTGCAGTTGCTCGCATGCTCGCTTTCTTGTCAGCATTTGCTCATGCAATTCTGTATGGTACATAATTCCTATAATATGGCTATCAAGTTCAGTGGAAATGCACGCGATAAATGACAACGATAAATAATACATCAGCTGATCTAGCTATATAGAGAGGATATTACACGGTGGCGCGAAGATATGAATTTTATTTTCGAGTGGCAAAACAATATTTTACGAACGAGCGCAGCGAGTGAGCAAAAAATTGTTTTTGTCGCGAGAAAATAAAATTCATATCTTCAAGCCGCCGTGTAATGTTCTTTTTATTATATAGACAAAATGACACCGATAAAGTATTAGAAGGAAATTACCAAAATTACGTCATCGATAAACTCAAGTGTGGGATTATGGAAAATAAACCACTCGGGTCCCGGATGTAGTTTTTATGAATTTTACGAGTGGTATATTTTCCAACAAAACACTCGTGTCTATATAATAAATATGGTTATATATGGTTGTTCTTTTTGTGACCTTCGCTTTCTGATCCGTAGGAACACGTGCGTGATGAAGTGAAGGGAAAATGCTGTGACGTCATTTGGCATCAAACGCGACTGTAATTTGGTTAGATCTCGATAAGGTGTCACTCAAACTAGCTTCAAAGAACTTGGTTCGCTCTAAATAAAACCCCGTTTTAAAATATTTTCTGTTTTATTTAAAAAAAAAAGGATTCCCATATGGATTGCTGCAAGCGGAAAATATAAAAAGTGCCTGCTGCTCCTCGCGAGTTGTACGCTCTAAACTGCTCGCTGCTCGCAAAGCAAATTTTTTATCTCTGCTCGTGCTCGAAAAAAAATCGCAGTGCTCGCATGCTCGCGAATGCTCGCAAAGACCATTCGTCACCCCCAAATATGATGGCGTTTTGCTCAGAACACCCTAAGTGAGACCAAAATCCGGAATTTACACCCCTAAGCGAGACGACGAGCATCCCCACCCCTTTCATATGCGAAGTCTCCCCCGGGATATGACTACCGTTTGTGTGTGTTTCTTTTGGTCGAAATACAGACATTAGATTACCATATCATCTCATATTTATTTGGTCTTTTAAGTTGGCGAGTTTGGCAGATGGCTATGCGCGTGCGTAAATTAAAATTGTTGCAATAAAAGGGGGGTGGTAGGCCTACACGACTTTTACCTCATGCCAAAATGCTGCTTATTCCAATAAAGTTGTTTTTATCTGCTGGGTAGATTATGCTCTGGAAGGTTCTGCATTTTACTGAGTAAATGTGGTTTTAGCCGCATGTTTCACACTGAGAGGTCATGACATTTATATCGATTGACTGTAGTTATTGTTTTCTGGTCGGCAGGATTTGCCCTCTGGTGCAAGCGCATTTTCTTTGACCTCTTTTGAAGCGTAAAGCTTTTTTATTACGGCCGAATAAGGGTTCCAATTTTCTCCAAAGTGCCTTCAGGATCTGATCTAAGCGATTTTCTTTAGTCCGTGAGTGTAATTTTTCTCTGCAATGCTATATCACGCTGGGCCCAGCTGGTCAGTTTTCTTTGCAGAATGTTAAATTCTGATCACGGATAGTGACTTACAGATCCAAAATTATAAGAGTGAACTGCAGCTTAAACTGAAGCTACATAAACTTACTATGGAGAATTGAATTGTGACTCAGTAAACTCCAGCTTAGTGTTTTACTAAAGATAGTGTGAGTCTTTTGACTGGAGCGCGTAGTTCCTCCCTTGTTAATAGCTTTGAATAAGCTTAACAGTCTTTAAACTGTTTTGTTATTGCCACAGTCTGTGATCAGGCAAGACCATGGTTTCGGTTCTCCTCACGAACCTCATCAGTTGCCGGGTTAGCTTTGTGCTTAGTCGCTTTTACAAGAGCAACTTTAGTTGTACTTTGTCGTGGCGAGAACGGTACAGCCGTTCTGTCTGTTGAGCTTTGAACTGAACATAAATACCCACGTGGCGGATCGAAATTCTTGTTTTCTTATTGGCTACTGAACGTAACCAATTGCGCACTGTGTATTTCGATCCTCTTCTGGTGTGTTTTTTTGGAAAGCATTTCGTGAAAATTTAGGCACTTTCTTTCATGGAGGAGTTCGAAGTCTCTTAAATAAATGCGCACAGAGTTTCCGTACACTCCCTCTAAAAACTGGAGTGGATACGTTCCTTGTTAGTTGTGCAATGTTGAACTTTCTACTCTATGCTTGGTTCTTGTTAGTGCCAGTGTTGATTTTCATAAGGTAAAACGGGGCCTACCCGTAAACAAATCATAGCAATAAAAGGGGGTGGTAGGCCTACACGACTTTTACCTCATGCCAAAATGCTGCTTATTCCAATAAAGTTGTTTTTATCTGCTGGGTAGATTATGCTCTGGAAGGTTCTGCATTTTACTGAGCAAATGTGCTATGTACGGTTCGATCGTTGCGATACAAAGTCAACAATACCCCAACTTACTCATTATCACTTTTGTTGCTTTGCCCACGAACAGTTGTGTACGACTTTCCAGCTCGCGTTTTTAGGCCCAGTGCAGCCACTTCTAATACGTGGCGGTTTAAGCAGACGCTTTCAAACCCTGGATGGAGGGTTATGCATAAGGTCCGGTCTCCAATGGCTTCTTCCATGACCTCTTCGCAGCGATCGATCTCTTTGCAGCAAATGCACTCCTGCGCTTTTGTAACAAGGCTGACAGAGCAGTTCGAGCACGAACACCTGCAAAATAATGTGAAAAATTCGTCAAACACAAGAAAAATACGTCTGTATAAAATTATTAATTGTCTGACCTCTTCAATAAAACTATCGCATAAAATCAGGACTACGGTAAGTTAATCACATAGCAACGAAATTGTAAACTTAAACAAAACACACAGTCGCGTTCCTCACGCGCACGATTTAACGACGGGTATGTTGAAATTGGAAAATAAAAATATAAATCTACATTCCATGATAATACCATACCATTCATTCGCTGGCACCTCTCCCGAATATCTTCGCTGAAACTGTTGTTCCTCTTCTTCTTCGCGATGAACTCTTTCGTTGTAGTCCGCGGCTTCTTCCTCGGTAGCAAGGGGTTCGCAACTGTCGTCGTACGGCGCAAATTCAGACAATTCCCCCATCACTTCGTCAACTGTAAAACTTTCTAGATCACTTTCAGATGTGCAGGAAGAGGAATCCGACGGAGATGACATCTTAAACGTCTTGTTAAAAGGCTCTAAACTCACAAACTTTTCTCAAATGCGAATCTTTTGGTTGATGTTTCTACGTCACAGTACATAAATCACGTGGTGAAACGCACGACCGCTTTGCGGAGATCTCGCGGGCTATTGCTTTGCGAACTTTGTAATGGCGGACGGTATTTACGCACTTTTCAGTGGGAAATTTCCAGCCCCCGTACGCAAGTATCGTTCCAATTTTTCGCTGTTTGTATAATTTTGAACATATACAAAAGATTTATGTTAAAAAAACTCGGAAACAAAAACAAAAATTTTCGTCGTAGTAGCACTTTAAAGGCTTTTTATAAATGGCTATGAATTATGACTCGCCATTAAGACATCAATTTCATATGCATAAATCACCAATTTTTTTAGACTTGGAAAAATGAACTTTTATAGAACAAGTATAAAAGTTTTACATTCATCCAGATGTCAATATGCCACCATACTATATCATACATACTATATCAACTTAGCTATCCTGGCAAAGACGACTGACTCGCCTCGTGCATATATGAAACAAATACTACAGCCTATGTGTTTCTCAAGAGGGGGAGAGAGGGAGAGGGGAGTTTTTTCCCAGTTATGCAGTCGACTCCATGTGCGACCACCTCTCGTAAGTGATTGTGACCCGTTTTGGCCTGACGGTTTTATAGTTTTCCATCAGTTTTAACCTCTTGTAAGCGACCGCTCGACGCATGTGCATGGTTTTCTTTGTTCGGTGCATATACTACACCACTCACAGTATATGATGATGTTTCAGTGACAACATGGAACTACAAGTACACGTCAGTAACCCAGAAATTGCAGTCAATAAATTCTCTACCCATAGTAGATGTGTCGGGACCTCTTCTCGAAGGAGATCACCTTCCCTAAGCGACCACTTTAGTAAATCTTCTCACTTTAGGTGGTTGCTTAAGGGAGGTTCGTCTGTAATCAGTTACGTCGGCTTGGTGCTAAGTTGCGCAGTATCACCATGATGGCTTTTCCAACGTGTCGCATCTTCCAGCAGTAAATCAAAGGATTTAGAGAGGAATTGAGGAACACTAATGTGAAAGTATAAAGTCGCAAATGTATCACCAAGGCCGTGCTCTTTCCAGCGCGTTTTATGATAGTCATTACGCACAGTCTTGGTACATAGCAAGCCACAAATACAAGATACAGGTAAAATGTACCAGTTGCGGATTTTCTCAGTTTCGCCGCATTCGCTTCGTTCTCAGTCTGTTCCTGAGTTACCTGTATTCGCTGGGTCAGTATTTGAGTTTTGTGGCGACGTACAAGGAGATATATCTTTAAATAAAACGAAGCTGTAGCTAAATAACAAACGCTTTCCATAGGTACTGAAATAAAAAATTCGATTTGCGGACGCAGGCTAAAAATCAAGGCAAGAATTGCACTGAGGATCCAAATTGAGACCACTACAACCAAAACACGCTTATAAGTTACGAGTTCCTGGTATCTAAGATGAAGATAAATGGATAGAAATCTGTCCGCAGCTAGGGCCACAACACCGAAAAATGAAACATAAGAGAGAAATTTTCCTGTGATATAAACAATCTGCAATGTGATCTCCGAGGTCAAAGTTTGAGTTTTTCCTTGTATAATCATCACCAGATATACGACGTACGAGGGCTGAGCCAGTAGACCAACGCCAAGATCAGTAACAGCAAGATTCAGGAGTAGCATTTTGAGAGTCTTTGACAAATGGGATGTTCTTCTCAGCGCAAGGATTGTCAGAGCGTTCAAGGTGATGGTAGTATAGGATAAAAAGGAGTTTAACACACAGTTAATTATCAGCGGCGTTAGCATCATTTTGTAGTATAGAACTTATACCCAGGTACCTTAATTCGGATGTATTGTGTATTTTTTTCGTCAATAGATTGCCTTTTAGATCTCGTGTAATAGATAGACAAGTTTGTTGCGACCAACAGCTTATGCTTTATTTTTTCATGACATAAGATGATTAGTAACTTTACACAAGCGCGTATTTTGATTGGTCGATTAAGAGTTTACTAATTTAATTGCCTTTATGTGCACGCTTGACGAATTGAAGCTGTGCGCGCGCTTAGTTAGAACAACAACCCTGTAGAGTTTGAAATATTGACTTTTTCGAAATTTAATTTTTCAGAAATACACAATAAAAGAGGAGAAACAGAAAGGGGAAACTAGTAACAAAGTTAAGAGGAATTTTTGCGGGCACTTCCCTGAAACTTATGGTTGGAAAAGAGAAACAGAAGCGAAAAAGCATGAGTGACTACTTACAAAAACTAACTTTTTCAGGACATCAACATGACACTTGATGGAACAGCTGTTTAGAGCTGTTCTTTTGTGGGCTATATCGACAGCTGTTTTGCTTTTAGGGGCATCCAACGACGGTTTCCTCCTCTAGAAATGCTTTAAAATTTGTGTCTGTTCGGTCATCCTAGGGGAACTTGAATCTTTAAGAAATCACAAGGGCTTGAGTATTAGTTTCCCGAAAATTTTTGATGCAATTTGACGAATTACGAAATTGAGTTATTTTCTGATTCCTCTCTCCGTCGCTTTTTTGAATCCGACAATTTTCGGTTTCCTTTTTTTCTACAAAATATAACCTAACTTAGGAAGTGAAAAGTGAAAATTAAACTTCAGAAAATCGTAAGGAATTTATTACATAAGCTTCGAAAATTCTACATGTACATGAATGGAACGGTCACCTAGAAAGTTTTAGCCGTCCGCAACTGATAAAACATCCTAGGTAATATTTGCTTCTCCGAACAGTCGTTGGGTGACCCTGTTGCTTTAATTTGCTGTCGTTGAAAACTGTTGCACAATAATGCGTGTTTCCCTGACACCTTTTAGTAAAATGGGAGTTCAAAAAATTCTTGACTGAAAATGTAACAACTTTTCAACGCAAGAAGTAACAATGACAAATTAGCCTTTTCCGAGTTGCATGCCACAAACCGCTGTTCAAAGCGAGACCAAGTGCATTTTGAAAGAGAGAATTTTGAGAAAATCCATATAAATGCTATAAAACTATGGCTGTTGGTACCGATTGCTCTTTTAGCGTTGTGGTTGAGATAAATTTAGTAGACCGTGATCAAGGCTTCCCGACTCTCTTTTCTTGAGCCTGCCTTCTTATTATTGTAGGATTTTCTTAAAGTAAGGTTTTCTTTTATGTGTAGGATGCATGAGGTATCGCAACTCCTCCTGAGCTATAGAATTTAAACTCTACGGCATCAAGCATCAAGAAAGCTCGGACGAACTGCTCATTGACTTTAGTCCCTCCCTCTCTCGTGCGCAGAGGCCTCTTTGTCTCGAAGGAAGGCTGGGCAGAAAAAAAAAGAAAGCGCGCGTAGGACGATGGGAAAGGGAAAGAGAGGATGAGAGGCCTTTTCCCTCTTCCCATCGTCCCACGCCGCTTGCTATTTTTTTGATTATTGCTATATTTCGTATCGGGATACTAAATGGCAGCCTCTGGGGAAGAGAGCGAGTCCCTCCCAGGATTCACCCGCAAAGTTTATTTCTTTTCCCCAGGCTTCTATCGTTTCAAGAAACAAAGAAAGAGAATCTCGGAACCACTCTACAGATGCTGAAAGAAGAAATTGCAAAAGGTTATAAACCTTTTTAACAAACTATGCAACTGGTTTCTCCTTTGTATAGAAATTTGCTTTTTTAATTCGAACCATCACGGGAGGTATTTGTTTCTAAATACGAACAAATATATTCATATCATATCCTAACTACACGAGGTACCTATATGAAAAGTTTACTGTCCAACAAATAACACGAATATACGTCTAGACGGCGTTCAAGTTTACAAACTTGTAGAACAGAACATTTTTACCCAAAAGCCAGCTTACTTGTATTTGGCTTGTATCTTAACCATTCCATGTGAAGAATCAATAACTAGTCGAGTAAAACGGCTCAAAGAAACCTGACTGAAGCCTTTTTCTATCGTGGCTGTGACTGTTCATGGTTGCCTTCCAAACAATAATACGATCCCAGAGATCTTAGCGTAGAAAAATAGTCCCCAGTCTTTCTTTCAATGGTTCTATTACACATGCAAGGAACTATCCAGCAGATCCTTTTGCTAAATGTGTTTTTAGATTAGTGTTATCACTTTTAGTCTTTGCGAGTACTTTGGCATAGTACCAAAGTAATTGTCTCATTTTATAGCCAAAGCAAATTTAGGAATTTTTTATGCGAATTTATGATCCAGTTTTGAGTTCGCCTTGACCGCTGAATAAAAGCACAGTAGACGCATGTTAACAGGGTTAGCCTCAATCTGAAGTAAATAGAAGAGCTGTTCACAGCCCTGTTTATTGTTTATTTTAAAATTTCTGACACCCTTCTGCCGATATTGTGAATATTTTCAGTATATGCCATGCCAAGGCTAGCCCTTTAACAATGCGTCATTGGTGTTTACATTCAGCGAAAGTCGAAAGGGGACTACCTTAAACTGCCACTTAGAAGCCCTTCCCTAGTCCTTGGCCCACTTATTTGTAAACAAAACAAAAAAATCCCGAAAAAAAGCCCCCCCATACGTGCCCCACTCTGGCTTGCATTGAAATGAATTCAATTCTTTACGAACTTTTACTATGAAGTTTAAAATGACCAGTAAATTCAAAACTTGTTTTGTTCAGCATTGCCATTAGAGAGGTTTAGATTCTAAGATGAGGAAGACTACGGGTACTAGATTTTTTTGAGTACTGCTCACGAATAACCAACGTCATCTCGGCGGGAAAACGTGACAGCCGTCGAGTTTTAGCGAAAATGTCGTAGCGGCGGGAACAAGTTATCAAACGAAAGAAGTTTTATCATTTTGCTATTGGGAGAGGTCTTAACCTCCTTTAGTATAGAGCGTTTTCACATAACGTCACGGCGGCCATATTGATGTCCCAAAACAATGAAACGGCGGCCATGTTGGTGTCCCAAGTAAATCCTGTGGGAGTTGAACTCTTTTCTTATGTAAAAACTTTCTTTTGTTTCCAAAAAATTTGCACAGATGATGGCCAGGTGAGTGAAAACGCTCTATAAATAACCGTACTAACTTTCTGGGTGAAAAAAAAATTAAAATGAAGCTTTCCGGGATGTCTTTTTCTAAAATCTCCTACTCCTAAACGTCCTCAAATCTAAAGCTCTCTATTGTTTGTTTTCAAGCCCCTTTTCTATTCCAAGCCTCCCCCGGATATAAGACCCCTTACGCAGATTTACAAGCCCAGGGCTTACAGGCGGCAGTTTAGTATTAGGTTAAAGTTTCAACGAAAGGCATGCATATACCTCAACTAAAAGAACACCCCCGGATTTAAGAGAAAAGAAATTTGTCGAAAACTCGGACTTAAATACTGAAAATTCCTGGCATAAAACGGGTTTAGGTACACTGACAATATAGAGTACGAAAGCGTTTAAAAATTGGAGCGAACCTAAAACGGTTTAGCTGGGGGGAGCGTCTCCCACTATTTATGGTTATCTCTTCACCAGCGTGTATTAGACATAATTGGTAGCATTCTTGGATACCTTACGATTAATTTACAAAACGTTCACCAAAAAAGAATGATTTTGGTATTTTCTTTCGCTTTCAATACAGTTGCGTCCTATTAAGTCCTTGTACGGATGTTGCGTATCTGTTTGGCACACTTCCAGGTAATCTTTATTACCCAAAACGCACCATGTGACAATAAATATAAGTTGGACCCCTGACACGCCCTTCTAGAAACAGTGCCTGGATGTTCATGAATGCGAAGCGTTACGACTCTGGGAGCCGGGCTACTTGAGTAACGCTTTGTATAATAATAAAGATTTCGTTGTCTCTTTTTCTTGTTCCATTACAAAAATAAGATCTTTGAGGAGTACTCTCCGCATTCTCTGGCGAGGTACCTGAGCAAAGAAAAGAAAAAAAATGTCAGGGACGATTGGCTGGCTAGCATTAAATTCCATCGGCCTTAAACCCCTTGGACACCTAATGAAGTTTACACTACAGAGTATTCCTTGTCGCTTTGGTTTCCCTTGTACACTGTAGATATACACTAACAGTGTAGAAGCAACAGGGAAAACTTTGTTGTATAAGCTTCATAAGGTGTCCGATGGGATCTTGTGCTTACCCGATTGACCATCGTGAGGTTTGGAGCGAGACTGGATCAGTGTTGAGTCGAATTGCACCACGCGACATTTTGGGGGATGCTATAACTTCTTTTATTGGCTATTACAAAGTTTCGCAAGGAATTGGGTTACAATTGGTCCCCAAAGCAACCCTATAATACATGGTACATTCAGGCCGGCAAGGAATAGCCTGTTACAGCGTAAAAACAAGACGCACGCGCGTTCTGTGAAAAGGGGGCGGTGGCGTAAAAAAATGGGAGAAAGCTGCCCTCTCTCTCCCCAGTCAGCGCGTTTTACGCGTCACGTTTTGCTGCACGACTGCACTATGTACTATCTTGTAGCCTGGAAAAGGATAGCAAGTAAGGAGGAATAAAGCAGTGTCTTGGGATCATTACGGGGGTTAGTGGGCAGTTTCTCAGAATCTTTTACTGATCCCTTTTCTTACCTGTTTTCGAACGTCGTTTTGGTTTCCAAGTGCGCTGGAAGACGATGGCGATGCTGAGGTGGAAGACGAACCCTAAATGATAACACGAAACCCCAATGAAACAGAATTCTCACGAAAACGAAACAACTACTGTACTTTTCAAAAAATAGAAGTGGTAAGTGTTAAGTTTCTGTATCTTTGCAAGAAATTGAAAAAGCGTTGTACGCTGCCTTTTAAATGCTTACCGGTGTTGAAGAAGACGAACTTCCCTCCAAAGCTTCATCTAATTTTCTCTTTTTTCTTGGTCCAATGGCGGCCAGCGCCGTTGAGTTAGCTGCTCGCTTCCGAATTAGTTCTTCTTCTTCTTGTTGTAACTGGAGTATAAGGATTTCAAAACGATTGATGACAAAAATAAACAAAAGGTAAAGGTATCATCATCTGGCTGAAAAACCTGGGGCCGACGGTACTCTTGCTTTACCCTTTCAAGGGAGAAACCGACTTCACAACAGACGTCACACCGACGTTAAAGCTGAGGTCTTTTTGTTAATATCGGTAAAGAATTATACAGGTCAGGGAGAACTACAGGAAACAACTTCACTCTGTTCCATGTGTGCGTGGAAGACGGTCATGCAGTACGTTCTGAACCTCGCAGTGCGTATTTTGTTTTATATAGACACTGCCCACCTAGACTAGTCTCTGCTATTTGTGGGCTGTGAGAAAATAACATTGTAAATCTGAAGTAACCAATAATATGAGATCAAATGAAATGAATGAATTCTGTGTACCTGTTTTGCCTTCTCTTTAAGTCGCGCTTGCTCAGGATCTTCTTGCCTCGACCGGCTCTATTTAAAGAAACAATAGCTTTATGTTAGTTTTAACTGGTTTAGCAAACACTATTGAATACTTTATAGTCTTCAATAAAATCTGGTGCTGGGGCCAAATCCGTAAACAACTGAAGTATTCATCAGGAATGTTGATTGTGTGGGAACCATGCAACATACTGGCCCAACGGGTCTTTCCACTTGTCCCGCTGGGCAGCTGTCAGACGGAGAGCACTTTAGAAGCGCCTTGTGACTGTTCGTGAAAAAGACCAAATACATTGTAAGGCGAAGATTTGCTGGTCTGATAGAATACGTTGAATGCGAAAGTTCTACCAGACTATCCACTGATACCCAACATCCAAATTCGTTGGATGTAGACGAGCCATCTAAACTATTTTAATAGTTTAAATGTTTAATTATTCCGAATGTAAGAAGGGAAGGATCGCATTGTTAAAATATACATAAACGTTAGAGTACTGAGACAACCAGACGTACCTTGGCAGCCCGCATTAAAATATCTCTTTCTCTAGCGTCTCGCTTTTTTCTCTCGACTTCATCTATCTGCTCAAAAACCCGCAGCTGAGACCGTATATCAACACCTACTTCATAAATTGGATCGTCCTGAAGTTACCAAAGCAAAAAGAAAAAAAAAATCATCAGTACAAATTTAGCATCATATACTGTAAAAATGTCAGCAGGGTTCTATCTAGGATTCATCGTATGGGGGAGAAGTCCATATTGGCCGAAGGCCACGAGCTTCCTAGGGGGGTCCTTTCCACATCCACCAATGGAGAGCGTTAGATTCTACGACAAGGACGACGAGAACGAGATTTTCTCAATACTAAGCAGCGCACGCGCGCGAACCAACGTCATTTTGGTGGGAAAATGTGAAAGCCAACGTCATTCTTCAACGAGGTTTAGCGAAAATGTCGTTGTGGCGAAAACAATGTGTTACGAAATTTATCATTTAGCGATCGGGAGAGGGCTTCATCTCCTTCAACGGAGATAAGCGTACTAACTTTTGTGGTAAAAAAAAAAAAAGTACAATGAAGCTTTTCGGCGTGCCTATTTTTAGAGAATAGAGACCTTTAGATTCTAAGACGAGAACGACTACGAGTACGAGAGTGCTCGCGAGTGAACCAGCGTCATTTTGGCGGGAAAAAGTGGTAGCCGTCGTCATTGTACTACGAGTTTTAGCGAGAATGTAGTAGTGGCAGGAACAAAGTTATCAAATGTTAGAAGTTTTAGCATTTTGTAATCGGGAAAGGGTTTAACCTCCTTCAATAACGATAACAGTGCTAACTTTTCTGGTGAAAAACAGTTCAATGAAGAATTCCAGGGTGTCTATTTTTTGACAATACGCGGAAAAACTTTAAATCAAATTTCGTACTCGTAGTCGTCCTCGTCCTCGAATCTAAAGCTCTCTAATATGTACGAAAACCTGGAACGCGGAACATTCTACAACTCTTCACTGAATACAACGCCGGTGATTCAGGTTTTGGTACAAGACTTCGCCCTTGTAAAACATTGGCTTTTAAAATAGTCGACTTGTCGATTTGAGAATATAAAGAGGATTAACGAGTGGACAATTGAACCGTCCGCATCTTGAGGAGTGGTGAGTAGACATAGTTTAGTATTTACGTGGGCAAACTAAGCAAGTGATAATCAGTTCGGGTGGAGAACGGATTCAAAACACCATCAGAAGAAGGAAATGGGACAGGATTGAATATCAAGAGGCAAGCTTTAGACTGGGATCGACTCGGGTACGGGACGAGAAAAGGAAGATTCCCTCAGAGCTGGAAAAGAAACCATCCAGGAAAAGTGAGGTGTATCAACATGTCATGGAACTACCCCAAAACCTCCGCCCAAAAATGCAATC